ACGTCGTCCTATAAAATAATTAGGATTTAAAAAGATATTAAGCCTGCAGCTTGCAGTCAAAAGGGAAGGATAATATTAATTTAAATTTAAAAATATCGAAACTTCTAAGTTTAATTTTGAATCGGAATCATATCTTAGAGGCATTTTAAAATGAAACAAAAATTGAAATCCATTTTTTAAAACTACATTACAGCATATTCACAATTTTTTACCAACCCTTTGGGTCGTATACGTGTTCTTTTAGGGGATCTCTTTGATATGCATATTTTTTCTGGCATAATCGTCCCACTATTAGAATTTCAGGATTTGTGTAACAACGTCACTGTATAAAAATTGGCCAGCTTTTTCAAAGATTTAGTTGATCCATATCCCGATGATTAACGCAGTTTCTGTCATGTAGTGTGTAAAGTCTATTTTTTTAATTTTGCGGCCAACCATTCGATAGGAGCAGAATCTGCACTGCAGATGTAAAAATCGATATTTTTGCCCTTGGACTAATTGGTTTTAACTTCTGCTGCTATTAAATTATCGGCATTCGTTTTTTGCGCCTTTTTCCGCTTTGATATTTGCGGCTTAATTTTTTTTTGGTATGAGTATTAAAATAAAAGGTGAGAAATTGTCATAATATTTTTAGTATTTGTTTGATCGAATTTTATTATACTTTTTTTTGTAATTGTCAGATTAGTTAGTTTTTTACCAGGGCAACAACAACTTATATTGTTGTCAGGTTACACTGGTGTATACATACCGCTCACTTGAAATTATTAATTTCATAAAGAAACAACAGTTTTAATTATAATATTGATTACATTGAAAGAAAACAAATTAACAAATTAATTCTTGTAAATTAAATATATCATTTTACCCAATACACTTAATCGTTATGTGGAAGTACACATAATTTAACTACAGGCCTTTTAAAACAACCCTGAGATGTGCGTATAGTAGCAACTCGAGCGATGTTATCCGCACCAGGATGTAAGCCAAAATTCTACCTTAAGGCCAATTATAAGGAGGAGTATTATCATTTTTAATAATACATTTTTAGTTTTGATAAACCATTTTTGGCGTTGTTACAAAGAATGCAGATATTCTAAATGCCAACGACGCCATATGGATTCTTGAAATTGTTGAATTAACTGCCAACGGTTCAAACGATTAATCTTTAGATTTTCATAACTCTCACTTAACACTACTTTCCCAAATGCCACCCATATGGGGACTTGAAGGAGGGTTAAAATGCCAATTAAGAGAAAGAGTTTCTGAAGCCTTTTCAGCAAAGGTACGTAGGATATTGTTTGCGGCAACAAAATTTGTTCCACAATCGCTATAAAGATCCGACACTCTACCACGGTGGGCTACAAATCGGCGAAAAGCAATAAAAGCCTCTGAAGTTAAATCAGAGACTAATTCTAAATGGAGAGCTTTGGTAGCCATACAAATAAATAAACATACCTCGGCGAAATCAACTCCACTGCAAGAGAAGGGTTTAAATTGAGAAACACGCACACTAGGTAAATCACCCATAAACTGACTTGAAGGTTTTGCATTTGCTTTAAAACATTTATAGTATTTGGAAAGACATTGATTAATTGCTCGTTTGGCTGAAAGAATTCAAAATTGTTGATTAATTAAGAATCTTAATATAGAGTGACCTGTGTGTAAAGTTTCCTTATGAAAGTGATTAATAATAAGTTCAGTAAACTTATGTTCCCTAGGAAGTAAAATCGGATGTTTACTATCAAATTGTAACTGGGAATGACGCTAACGTCCGCCCACCCTGAGAACACCATCTGAGTCAAAGAAGGAGCAAGCTTATGTAGAGATTTTGAGCAAGATTTGTTGGACTTTAATGCGTCGATATCTTGACGGAAAGCCACAGACTGAACATATTTGGATAAAATAACTAGCGAATGATATAACTCGGCTTTAGACAAGGGTCCATATTGTCTATCACTTTTGGTTTTAAGATTGTTAATAAATTTTAAAACATATGTGATGATTCCTTGAATTTTGCAGTAACATAACATTGAACTTTGCATTCAAGCTCAGTGTGAGGTGAAAGTTCAGTAGATAATTCAGGCCATTTTTCACAGGACAACCTTAACCCAGGCGGCCCCGCCCATCATAAAAAATGTGACAGAAGTTCCTCAGGAAATAATCCGCGTGATGCCCAGCCAGCAGGATTTTGAGTACCTGGAATGTGATACCAACATTGTGGAGGCACCTTTTCCTGTATCAGAGAAACCCTATTACTTATAAAAGTTTTCCAAAGATAAGGGGAAGACTTGATCCAAGTTAAGGTTACTGTATACAGTCTATAGAGTCGGTCCAAGCAAATATTTTATTTGGAGCAATAAAATTTGTAAAAGTTGTGAGTTCAAAATCTATTAAGTTTGATAATAGAAGTGAAGCAGATAATTCTGCTCTGGGAATAGATATATCTAATAATAATAATAATAGATATATAAATTATAATTTATCTAAAAAAGTTACACGAGATTTTCCACATATCAAGGATATTTTAATTTCTCCTGAAGAGTTAATACTACGTATATAAACAGCGCATGCAATACCAATTTCACTGGCATAATTCACAATAATTGCAGTTTGATATCGGTCGTAAAAACAATTGAATAAAATCTAAAACGTAATAAAAAACACTACGCATGGACTGAACTAGGTGCAGAATTAAAAACAAATCCAACTGAAGTTGAAAAAAAAATGTGTGTGCTTATTGGACAGTTCCAGCGGGAGTTAAAAAAAGGAAGTAGTGGCGATGGAGCTGATGCTCCGCATAAAATAAAATATTTTTTTTTTAATTGCTTTCATTTTTAAAACACAAAAATGAGCCACGGCATTTTACTGAAGGTGGTCTATCTCCCGAAGAAGTACACAAGATACTAGTGATAACAGCAGAGTTAAGTACCCTTACATTTTAAATTAATAAATAATTTTAAGTCAGTAATTATTCTGCCACGGCACTTTCCCCTCCTCACTGGTAAAGAACAAATAAAATTCTTCTCGTATTTCCTTGCCTAGCACACTGGGTTTTCTAGGAATTCTTTTGAGTCTTAGCAAAGTACAATTTGTCTGACCTTCGACTCTCCATGTACCTGGTATTAGTTCCCCGGCAACCGTGTCTTCTGAAGTACCCGGTGGACAGTAGAATGAAGATGACTGACCTTTCGTAAAAAATTGTGGAGATAACAGCATCCTAAAAGTATCTTTTCTGCTCTTTCGGGCTCAAGAAGCATTGGTTTTCGTAACACCCTAAAAACGACAGATAAAATTCCAAATGAGTTTTCGACTACACGCCTAGCTCTACTATGTCTGTAATTGTAAATTCGCCCCCTGTGAAACTTTCTGTTGAGTGCCTGGAAAAGGTGTCATAATATGCGGTTGCAAAGCAAATTCCTCATCATCAATACAAGCGGTGAAGCTAATGTTCTTCCCGGTAATATTTTTCTAGATTCAAGGAAGACGTTTTAAGTAGCTATTTAAATGTTGTGTTAGCATATACTCCGCCATCAGACGAACGTCCTTGGCAACCTACATTTACATAGGTAAAGCAATAGTTAGCGTCAACTATAGCTAAAAGCACTATGCTGAAAAATCCCTTGTAGTTGAATTAGTCGCTTCCAGTGTTCATTGGAGCTTGTAAACATATATCTTTTTCATCCATACTACCACAACAGTGGGGGTAATTCCACTTCTGGTTAAAATCGTTTGCAATCTGTAGCCATTGTTTTTGATATTTAGGCACCTAAAAAATGCTTTATTATTGATATAGAAAAAAAGTGCCTTTTAACGGAGCTATCGGGCCCAAAAGGGTACCAGCGGTTTAGTTTTTTAGCTTTAACCTTTTTTGATTTCAGTCTCGTAGAATTTCGGAACTATTCTACCCACCTACCAGTCACCCGGTACAGAAATATTAATAAAATTAATTGCGATATAACATAAAACTCTCGATAAATCCACAATACAGTTTTATTTTTTTTCTTGTAGGAAGGACAACCAGAGTCATATCCAGAAGTGCAAAGTGATACAGAGAAATCTCAGGGAAAAAATGTATTAAAAAGCATAAACTGCTTTTAAAAATTGCAAATCTTGATTTGGAGCGACTATAGCAAGCGGTGCTGTATACCAGAATCTCACATATATGTATTTATATATATATAAATACCACGAATAAACAAACGTCCAATAAACTTCTTTCCTCTTCTTTCGATAGTTCAAAAGCATCTCGAAAAATGTAAATTTTCAAAGAGTAAATGGCCTTCGACATCCAGCGAGCGTGATGGAAAGCTCCAGGTTTGTAAAAATTAACTTTTTGATGGTCGAGGGTACCAAGAAATATTCTGGACAGTTTAAGAAGCTCTTTGTAATCGTCGCGGGGTAAAACAGTATCTAATAAATTTTTAATAATTACATCTATTTCATCAATTTGACTGATAAATTTTTTGTGAATTCTATTTCCCTTTAATCCATCTCTGAATTTACTTTTATCTATTGTATTCCAGCAACTCTGAAACTTTTTAAACAACGGGACGTTTGGTCCAGTAGTACCTGGTAATTTTAAAGTAAAAACACTTGTAAGAGCTAGCTCATATATATGATGTCGGCACGGTAGCCATAATAAATCCGTTTCTAGCATTTGTTCCAATAATACCGCCGCTCCGATATTACAACCCAGATTAGAAGCCGTTGTATCACAACACAATGCCTTTATCGATTCTGTTAAGCTCAAATTATTAAGAATACTATAAATTTCTTCAGCTTGAGTAATTCCCTTTCCGTCAGGTAAAGCAGGTACGCTCAAAAGTTTTTCAACTCCATTATTACTAATTAATATAGGCACTCGATCAATTTGTTTACACAAGACAGTATCTGGTATGAGTTTACCATCCCAGTGAAGAACAGCTGCAGTAAATTGGATATTATCAAATAATTTTTTAATTTTTAATGCTTTTTGTTCTCGAATTTTCTTTCGCTGTTCGTTAAATGATGTTTTGTTTAAAATTATCCAGTGTAGCGACAACGTTCTCTGTCATAATGTTAATAGTTCCTCTCTCATTCTTCCGATTATAATATCTTCCACCTACTTCAAATTCCGATCTTTGACTTGGTGGTGAAGAAAATGATAATGTTTCCCCACTAGACATTGGTCCTTCTGTGTTTGTCGAACTCGATGGCAAATAGTTATCTAAAAGAAAATAAATTATCATTTATTGGTTGATTGATACACTCAATAGATAATTCAGGGTAATGATTGAGATCAACTCTAATACTTGAATTTTCTTGTGATAATTCAGCATCATTTGACCAGTGTTCTACATTACAAGATGCTGTTCCGATGTTTTCAGAGGTTAACACTTCAATGGGGTGATTATCATTAACAAAAAGTTGATTATCAGAGGTTAATATTTCATTAGGGCAATCATCAACTAGATTTTCTGAAATAGAATAAATTTTTAATCGATAGTGACATAAAAAAGTAAATTCAAATATTTTATAAACGTTTCATTTAGTAATTAACTAATATTTTATTAAAATTACCAGATAACTCAAATGATTTTCCTTTTTTATTTGCCGAAAAATTCAGATGAAATTGTCTTTTTGATCGCTGATCCATTAAAAAGTTTTTCATGTCATTGCTGACCATTTCAAAAACTTGACTGTGAGCTATGTCAAATAAAGTTTCTAATTTGATTAAAAAGTCTTGCTCTTTTTGCTGATTTGATGACACACCTGCATTTTTATGCACATTTCTGTATTCTTCATGCAATTTTTCTAATTTTTGAATACATCGTTTATCATCTAATATGAAAATACCAGCAAATAACCAAAATTTTTTAACTTTTTAAATTGTTATTTTACATCCTTCATGAACTGTTGTCTTCATGTTTTTAGTATGATAAAATAGTAACTTCAAAACTTGTTTATTAGTAGGTAGTTTATTACCACTTATTTCATCCGTAAGATCATCCAATAAAAACATAGGTTTCCGTAAATTTTTTTTTAAACTCATGATAAAAATTTTTGATTTTTAACGGATTGGAGCTTTTGAGGTTAGAAATATATTTAGTAGCGGGTTGTGTTGTTGAGTTTGGGTTGGTTTGGTTTTATGACGTAACTAACGTGCCCTTAACATGTATACAGGTACAATTTATTATTGTATTATTGTTGTGCCGCCAATTTTAAATTAAGCGGCACGGCAGTGATGACGTTTTTTATCTATTACGTCACTAGCGTGCCCGTAAAAAATAAATTGCGGGCACTCTAACGTGAACCTAGTCACTTCGATTTAGTAGAAATATTGATCGATTTTTTTTCACTTCTAATTCACAACTTTAATAATTTCAGCTTTACCATTAAATATTTATTATTTGTAACATGAATTAAAAAATTTAGAGTTCACTATTCAGTACGAAAATATTATTGTCGAACGAACCACAATGACCAGAATAAACAATAAGTAGAAAATGAGCTGTTTACTTTTTATTTTGTTCAGCGACTATCCACTAGAGGGTCACGTGTCCAAAATATCTGGGTTTTTTTATTTTTTTTGTGTTGGTAACAACTGTATTACTGGACTTAATTCAAACGGTGACTTTTTTATGTAATATAAAATTTTACATGAAATACAGAATAAATATTAATTAGTGAGTAGATTAAGCAAAATAATCAGAAAAACCAATAAAAATGAATTTTAACCTTTTCAAAACTATTGTAATAAATTTTTTTCGCCAATACAAAAATTTCTCCATCTGAAGGGATCATAATAGAAACAAAATCAAGCATTTTTAGTAAGTTGAAGAGTATGAACAGGCAGATAAAAATTATTTACTAAAAAGTGCAAAATCCCCATGTTATTTAAATGGGAAAAGTATCGTCTTTTAGGCAGGGTTAGACGGCATCATACATTTTTTTTTTTTTAGAATTGTTTTTAGGTCATAAACAAACGATTTTGACGATACCCAAGTGAAAATAGGCACGAGTGTATTCTTTTTGATGTGTATACTTCTAAAATATTAAATGATTAAAATGGAAGCAGATTTAATCTGGAAAATAAATAAAACAAATTTGAAAAGTATAAACAATATATTTTAAATTAAATGTTCAACATGACCACCTTCCTTTAAAATGCAGGTATATAATATCTCTAATCTTCTTGTAACTAGCTAACAATCGTAATTATCGAATTAAAGTAATAGCAGATTTACCTTTTATTTGTTTTATAGTATTTCTTTATTACCCAAATTAAAGATTAATTTTTTACGAATACACTCGTGCCTATTTTAATCCTGAGGGTATTCCCAAAGAGAAAGTAAGGTAATTTATTAATAACAATAAGGTAGAAAATTAATTTTGTGGATTTTATAATTAGCTTAGTTATATTTCCATTATTAAAATAAATAAATTAAAATAACAACAAATAAAAATGCTCTTATATATAAATATATATTATTATAATAATAATAATTACCATACGCACAAAGCTACTAATTGCGAAAAATGCGAATATTTTTTTTTCTGTTGGGTTGCAGATGCAAGGGATTTCCACAAAGGATGGTCGTAATATTCAAGGACTGAATATATTTCTGCAAACAGCCATGTGGTGCCTAGTCGTTTTTTTTTTTAATTTTTTTTTGCCTCGTAACTTCCGCTGCTAATATCGTGATTTTGTATGTGTAAATGTGTAATAAAAGTGACTTCCGCTGCTGATATAAGCTTTATTGAATAAACTCTAAAAAAGACAAAAATGATAGTGATGGACATAAGTGAATAAAAATACTATAAGTGAAAAAAGAATCTAAAAGTGACATAAATAATAATAATCAATAAACTATAAAACCAAGAAGAAAAGGAGAAGCTATAGGTTATCCTAGACTCCCTTGCTCCAGTATAATAATAATAAAATACAGCTGGCTAATTCCCGGAAGGGAAAGGCCAATCAAACCAGAGAAGAAGAAGAAGAAGAAGAGACATATAACCAGCCCCATTGCCTCATCACTCCCGGACCGCGTACAGGCCTATGTTTACTTACGCCGATTTTTGTTCGCCCCCAGCAACTGCACGGCTTCACCCGTGTTTGCTGGGTGCGAATGTCCATTGCGTTCCGTACTGTCCCCTATTTGGGGCTCGAGAGCGACATGCGAATAGTTTTAATAGCCATTCTCGGGTTCGCCGAGCCGATGCTATACGCCCAGTAGGGTATAGAGGAGGAGGGACGGGAGGGTGTTGGTTTTTGGGGGACAATTACGCCGACTTAAAACTAAGTACGACGCGGAATCCCCCTAGAGCAGTCGATTAGTATTACTCCAAACATTTGGGATTACTATTTGGAGTTGAGGAGTTGTTATTTCGCTGCAGGGGTGTAGTTTCCAAGTCGAGGTCTTCGTCTTGTTCGTTATTGTCATTGTCCGTGTCCTGGTCAGATAGTTCCTGCACTTGGTAAAGTGTGTCAGTTGTTTTTTTATTTTATTTTTATTGTTGCTTAGTTGCTTCCAACTGGTCTTGTTAATTTGTGAGAAGTGCATGTTTTGTGCTAACGTGTCATGAAATGTGAAGCATGGTCTCCCGACTTTTTTGTCTGCAGGGTCTAGTTTAAGGATGGCTTGTAGTATGTGGTTGCGTTGCCTACGAGTGACGTGGGCCCAGTATTTTATAATTGGGCTACTTTTACCCTTTTGGTAATGGTTTTGCCCATTAGCAGGTCGGGGGGATGTTGGTGATGGTAGTCGGGTAAGTGTGTCGTTAGTAGTGTAATGATCTTCCGTTTAAGTTTGCGTAATTTTTGTCCTAAGCACGTTTTGTGGTAGAGTTTTGTGTTTTTTTCTTAAATTCCAAAATTAAGTATTGCATTTATTTATTAGTTAAACAAATGACAAGCGCAATTATATCTAATGTTTACAAATCCAGTAGAGTTTGGTTATTATGCTTTTTTACTATGTTAGGGTTATAATGATTAATGTGTTAGTTTATTCTGTGTGTCTAGTGTTTATTATTGGTGTCGTTTGGGTTTGCCTTACGCATTTGTTGTTCATAGATTTATTGTCCTACGCTGTGAGCCTTTCTTAGGGTTTTAAAGATATCTGTCCTGTTTAATTTGCAGATTATGTGTTAGGTCATGCATTAAGGATACTAACCAATTTTTTGCGGATGGCCACCTCCCCTCTTGTTTGACATCCTTTGTTTGTCCAGTGAAAAGCGTCCAATGACAGGTGGCACTTAACTCATTCATATCACTTAACACTTCACTCCTCATTGACCACACCATTTTGATTTGCACTCTATGAAAATTGTTTGTTTCACTATAATTGGTTTGCACTTTTTAAAAATTATTGTTGGTTTTAATCTTTAAACTACTACGTTTTAAGAGCTCTCGCTCTCGCAAAATTGTCTAATTTTATAAATTCATATATTCTTAGAACAACTTGCCAGCAAAATTTTTTAATGTAGTTTGTTACTAAAGATCTTACTCTAAACATCTAAACATCTAAACATTTTCAAATAATATTGGCTAAGAGTTCATCAAAATTTAATAAAAATTCATGTTTTTGAAAAATCACTATTTTCAGCCATTTCATGGTTTAAAAAGGCTATGTTTGAGTGAGTCGGTTTAAACCAATTTATGCTTCACACGCCCTTATTAGTCTCCAATAACCATTAATAAAATTATTGTGTGTTTTGCTTTTAACTGAGCCGTGGCTATAAGCAAAATATACAATATGCCCACCTGACTTTCAGCCATTTCATGGTTTAAAAAGGCTATGTTTGAGTGAGTCGATTTAAACCAATTTATGCTTTTCATCACAGGCACTTATTACTAAGTTATTAGTCTCCAATAATCATGATTAAAATTATTGTGTATTTTTCTTTTAGCTGGGCTGTTGATGTATGTCCACCTGTGACTAAATCCATATATTAACCATATATTCCGAAAAAGCGTATTAAATCTTTAAAATAACTCGACAGCCTTGAATTGACTTCTAATTCATTCAGAATAAAAATATAAAATATAAAAACCACATACAGTGGCGTCGAAAATTAATTACCCATTTATTTATTTTTTAAATTAAGAAAACATAATCAAATGTACAAAAAATTAATTAAATGACTTAAAGACATACTTTTCATAAACTTTATATATAGACAAAATAAAACAGGTATTAAATCCTAAATTTGAATTAAACCTAACTGCATATAATTAAACTGAACAAATCATATTCTTAACTTTTACAATCACCTAACAAACCTATTTTCTATTTTTTACCTCTAAAAAGTTATATGAATCGGAAAATTTTCTTATGTGTATAAGGTCTATCAAGAAGAATAAATTAACGACTTATGTCGTTTAAATGGATCGCAGCAGATTTCACCAAAAAATTTGGTAAAATAATATAGATACTTTAATTTGTGATACCTACGTACAAATATCGGTTACAGTTGCATCCACTCGCCATTCTATTAAATCCTTTTCCTCCTTGGTACAAGATTCAATCTTGGAAAATCGCGAAAAGTATTTTTATCCGAAATCGGCAGTACTTTTTTAATAATAATAATAAGTTAATTTTATTAATTGGATTAAAAAATCGCCGCGGCGCACAGTGTTTCAATTCTCGAAATTTTAAGGAAAAGTCGAATTCTCCTAAAAATCCGTATATAGAGGTTTTTGGGGTCGCTGATAACGAAACTGGAATCAGAATTCCATAATTCAAAATGGTAGATCCAAAATGGGGGACATATTTGTCAAAAAATTGACGGAATAAATTGAAAATCACCATACAGGGGTTTTTATGGTTGCTGATAATGAATCTGAAATCGGAATTCCAAAATTCAAAATGGTGGACATTTTTATCAAAAAATTGTCGAAATTAATTAAAAACCCGTAAGAGGTTCTTTTTAAAGTGTAAATAAAACATCTTTTTATAAACACAACACAAATAACCACAATTCAAATTTGACATTAACACACTACAATGCGCATGCGGAGTTGTTTTAACGCACCTACAAGAGGTGGGTTAA